ACTTTGAAATGTTTAAACATTTCTTAATATTGTCCTCGGTGAACATGGCTTAGAAGTAAACAACAGCACCACCACCACACTTATACATGCACACAAAAAAAATATAAAGATGCATGTTTTTAGTCCCCGCTCGGACACTGGGACTTATGGTTTGCCCTGTGTGCATCTGTGTGTTTGTGCGTCCGTGATCACCTGTATCTCAAACATGCATGGACCGATTAAGTTCAAACTTCACTCATACATCACACATTATATGGGACGAATGCACATGCATTTTTTTCATGATCCGATTAACGATAGCCGAATAGCGGCCATTTTAATGCCGAAAATGCATTGAAATCGCACATTTTCACCATTCGGGACCCAGATCTCAGTTATGCATGGACGGATTTTGTTCAAATTTGGTACATACATTAAACATATTAGGACCTTGATGTACGTCATTTTTTTTTTCAGAATCAAGTTCGAAATGGCCGACTGGCGGCCATTTTGTTTTAAAGAATTCAGTTCTGGATCCGTATCCGAGACATGTCTGGATTGATCAAGTTCAAACTTCACACACACATGGTACATCATGTCACAAATAGATATGTGCATTTGTTTCACGATCCGCTTAACAATAGCTGAATGATGGCCATTTTAAGGCCGAAAATACATCAAAATCACGTATTTTCACAATTCCAGAACCGGATCTCAGTCATGCATGGATGGATTTTGTTCAGATTTAATGCATATATTAAACATAATATAAGCTTGACGCACACCAATTTTTCTTCGGATCAAGTTCAAAATGGCAGACTGGCAGCCATTTTGTTTTAAAGAATTTAGTTTTCGATCCATATCTCGGACATGCCTGGACAGATCAAGACCACACTTCATACACATCATACAATGTGTTGTACATATGCAGGTGCATTTCGGCTCAGACCACTGAAAGTGGTCTGAGATTTTGGTCATGATCTGCTTTGAATGTATATGTCACTCAAATATGAATATGTCATTGACATTGACTTGTTATTTTTCAATTCAATCGTTTGAGGTTACCATAGTTTTCATTCTTGACATCTACTAGTAAGTAGTGTAAAAGAAAATATTTCCTGTAGAAGACGTGTTTGTTTTCATGAGCTTGAATTCCATTCTCCAGTTTGAATATTGGTTGCTACTTTGAGATTCTAAGTTGTCTGATTTGCACAAAAAAACAAACAAACAAAGCTGCTCTCTGATTATTGTACGCCTATTTATCTGAAATTTTCCCTCCCATGCCATGTGTTTTTAGAGTGAACAGAGTACAATGTAGCAAATGAATCATGATTGATGTCATTGCTATTGATGAATGACAGTCGGCGTGTGTAGTGACATTCCACTGAATACTACATTGATGTTGTGTCCTGCAGCTACATGTATGTGTGATGTCATCATGACCAGGTGGCCTAGCCTAAAGTTACGCTTGATCACAGACAACATAGCGACATCATGACAAATAAGGCTTTGGAGAAAATTTATGAGAAAAATACTGTTTTGCACAAGTTGAAACATTTCCAACTTTCTTTTGTCCTTTTTTCGGAATAAATCTAAAAAACTTGTTATTACAAAGACACATTAATTTTGATTAATACAAATTTAGGATTCAAAATGATTACTATGTGGGGGGGGGACTTTAACTTGATAAAAGTATGCTTATAACAAACATTAAAACTGTGTTTCAAAATAAACATTGATATTCAAATAAATTAGAGATTACAGTTGTCATTATTCATTTCCTCACAAAAAACAAGCATTGCTTGTGGATATAAACTGAAAAAGAACCTTAACGATAATTACATAATGTAATAATTAATTTGATGAACATGTGCAGTGCTGTAATAAAGATGCTTGCAGAATGGTATAGTGATGACTGGCTTTGAAAATTGCATTAAAATAAATAAATAACAAAAATCTTCCTTGGTAAATACTATTAATGTGATAAGATAATTACTAATGGAAATCCTGCTTTATTTCTATAATTATTTATTTTCATTCCCCCAATGGATTCTTAATACTTTAGTCACTGACTACAAGAGGTGTTTGGTTTCAAAGTGGTGTTCACTTTCTGTTCTTACCAGTACAGTTAATTCATCCTGTTATCTGAGCAGTATAATTTTAATAATATAAATATGATCTCATATCAACTGCATTTCTTACCAAACCATTTTTATTTTATTATTATTTTATAGATCTTGATTTTAGCGTTCACAGGGGAGTGAAAAAATGTATGAAGATTTTTTAAAGAAAAAGTGTGTCTTTTTGGAGAAAAAACAAATGAAAATTTACATTTTTAGAAATAATTCAATATAAATTATTTCCCAAAAAATAATAATTCATGCCAATCATAAGTATCCATCTTAAAGCTAAAACATATTTGACCAAATAAAATTTTGATTTGTGGTGAGAACTTTTTATCATAGAAACCTTAGCATAAAGTATTAAAAAATTTCCAGTTCAGGTTTGTGTCTAGGCAGAAAATAGTTTTGGGACTACTGTAAATGGGTTAATTATTCACTGGGTTTTAATATTGCTTATTTCGCTGACTGGAAAATGTGCTAAATTAAAACCCTGTGAATATGTAAAATTTAGCATAGAACACATTATCTAAATGATAAAACCGTGAACTTAAAACCCACTGAATATGCCTGAAATGGTAAATCAGCGAAATGTAAACCCAGTGAAAATTAGTCATTTTACAGTATATAATTCTATCTAGTTTTTGTTAACAACAGCATAAAATAAAACGATTTTGTAAAATTCAATGAAATCTGATCATTTGTTTTAATGGTAGCCAACTACCATTATGTCTGTTCCAGAAATTGCTGAATCATGATGTTGATGTACATGTTGTAACCCCATACCATACGTCTTTGGGTAATCTCATGAGTATTTGGAGTGTTATTCATTTGAGTTCACTTGTCGGCTTGTTCAAAATCCTGCATACAACAAGGTGCACCATATGACTGCAATTTTTTGGGGGATCGAAGGGGGGATTAGCAGTATATCAAAATATTTACCCTGTGTACCATAATAGCCTGTATATATATATATAATAATGTGATTGAAGTACTGATTAGTTATTTATTTTATGTTACACTGCAAACAAGACTGAATAACATGTCAGATTTGCTGAAAGAAAGATACTAGTATACACAGATTATGTGACAGTCCTGTTTAGTTTTCTGGTTGCTGAATTTGTATTATCAGTTGGCTCATTTGCATAGGGTTTTAAATCAACCAATCGCATTTCAGCTCAGGTGCCATTCTAGCTCGCAAGAACTATCATTTCTGGGCATTCACCTCGTAACATGTGCAGAACCTGCATCCATTCTAGGTTAATAACTGACTGTCCCAGTAAATGTTTTTGTATGTACTCTAGGTTAATGACCATCCCAGTAACCACTTCAAAGGACATTGCTTTACTAGACATACATGTATATGTTGGGTCAACAGTGGTTTTACTTATAGTTCCTGTTTGGAGAAAGTTTGAAAACAGGGATCTATTTTTTGTTTGACCTGTGTGCTGTTGTATAATCCATGCATGCATTCATGCATCCCCCACCTGTATCTCGGACATACGTTGTTTGATCATTTTAAAACTTCACAGGTACTTCATGCATTTTGGAATTCATTTGCATGTCCAATTTCTTTGGCGATCTAATCCAAGATGAATGAATGGCAGCCTTTTTTGTGCTAAAAGTTCAAGAAAATCAAGCAATTCTGCTGTTTCAGAGCCTGATCCTCAGTTGTGTACGGTTGAATTTTCAGATCAGATTCAAATTGCCTGACTGGCGGCCATTTAGTTTTTCTGTGTTTTCCTGATCAAATTAAAAAAAATTGACAACCGATGGCCATTTTGTTTTATCAAATACTTTTCCTGAGATACATCTCTGATAATTGCCTGAATGGCAGCCATTTTAATAAATCAAGCATTTCTGCCATTCCAGAACCGGAGCATGTTTGGATGGATTTTTTTTCAAACTTGGTACATGCATTGATCATCGTAGATTCTTTTGCTCTTCATTTTTTTTTTTTAGGTCAGATTACAAAAATGGATGGCCATTTTGTTTTAATGAGTTCAGTTATAGTGCCGTATCTCGGACATGCTCTGACCGTTTTCACTGATTTGTTATAAATTTTGTCAAACCACAGATATGAATATTTTACTGC